TCTCGTTATTAGTGTTGCGTATTTAAATTTGAGTGCATAGAGTAGTATTTATTATTAGTGTTGCGTTAAATGATTGTTTCGGGAATTTTTTAATTTTTTTTTCTTTTTTTTTTTTTTGTTAATTGTAATTAATTGATATTGCAAATATAATGAAGCACTCGTCGCGGTTTTCTATTTTAAAAAGTTATTAGTTTGTTAGTGTTGCGTTACAAAATAAATATCACCACTCACGGTTTGTTCGGCTTCGTATTGAGTGGTTGATTTATAAATTATATTTTAGTAGCCCTTCTGGCTACCTTTTTTGTATTTTTTTCTTTTCAGCACCCCTATTAACAGAGCATTTGTTATTGAAAATATTGTTAGAAAATATGTTATTATTTTTCAAAATTATTATGTTTAAAAATCAAACATAATAATTAAATTCAAATTTTAAAATCAAAATTATTTTGAATGTTTATAATTTCTCATAGAAAAAATTATGAATTATTTAACAATATTTTGATAATTTAATTTTTTAATATATATATTTATATATATTTATTTTTTCAGTTATAAATTATTTTTTAATTTTTTTAATTTTTACTAATCTAACAATTAAGTTTGTTACAGGTATGAATTGGAGAAAAAAAGGATAGAAGAAAAGAGTACAAAATAGTGTTTGAATCATTTGTTTGAAATTATCTGTTGTATTTTACTAATTTTTTTTTTGTAGAATTTGTTTCAGGAACCACATTCAGGAATCTTTCATCAACCTTTCAAAAAAAGAGAGTCAATAAATAAATATTTCAATTTTTATACAAGTAATAATGAAGAAACATTTTCTGATAGGTAGGATTTAAAAAAAATTATTTAATTTATATAAAAGAATATCAAATTTTTATTAATTTTATTATACTTTGATTTTATATATTGAATTTAAATTTGTTTCAGGATTTTTTATAAAAGCTGAAGAATATGTTATTTCAAGAGTTGCATAGATATCACAGAATTCCTCTCCCCTTTCCTCTTTTACTTCCAAATATTAATTAGATTTTTAGCTTTAGGTAGATTAAGTTAAATTTGTAATTAGAAGGTACTTTTAAATTAAATTAAATTAAATTTAATTTTAAAGTATTAGATTAAATGAGAATTAAAACATTAGATTACATAAGTTATTTTCAATTAAAATAGGACAACATAAGATAAGATCATTAATTAAAAAAAATTTTAAATTTATATTTAAGTGCATGCAAAAGATTAAATAGGATAAAATAATATAAATAAAAAAATAATTGATGAATAAAATAATAATGCATGATCTATAGAATATATATGGCATCTATGTTTTTTCTTTTTATGCTTTGGGTGGTGGCTTGTTTATTTATTTTTTTATTTGCGTTTTTCAACTATCAATTATTTTTCATTTTCATAATAATTCGAAAATGAAAAATGTCGATAGAAATTAGGATTAAGACTTTTTTGCATTGGTTTTCCTTATGATTTCATCTTTTCACAAGTTTGAACGTCTTGCAAACATACACCAAAAGGAAAATTGATTTGAAAATAAATAAATTTTAATATAAAATTAGAAAGTATAAGTGCAGATTTTTAATTTGCACTTTTCGAATAATTTAATTTTATATTAGATTAATAGCACGATTTTTTTTAGGTATTCCAGAATATGTGACGTGAAGTTCCGTAAGATGTCACCTGTATTCTTTATCATCAATGCCCTCTCTCGAGATTTTTTAGAAACATATTTCTTCGAAGAGATACCTTTGGCACTCGGAAGATGGTGCTGACAGTCAATTTTTGCTCCGTCTCTATCTTTTTCTTATTATTTATTTTCCTCGTATATCGAGTTTCATTTGCGGATTCAAGAGATATCGAACACGTTTAAATATTTATCACGCCGATATGATATTCAATCATATTCAAGAAAAAACAAATGTTTCAACGAGACGAGAATGAAAAAAAACGAGTAGATATTATCCGCGTTAAATCTGATGCATTATTTTATTCTAACATGCTGTGAAATAAAATGTTGAAGGGATTTAATGGCGATAAATTTTTTTTTTTTTTTGCAGGTGCACGCATGTATTCTGCCAGACACATTTTATTCCACTTACATCTATGAGCGTCTGGCAAGTACCCAATGCTCGTTGATAAAACGAAAGCTCTTTGCCTGTCCTTTGTGGCTTTTCTCTTGTGCTTTCGTTCTTAAAAAAAAAAAAAAAAAAAAAAAGAAAAAAAAATATAATTTAGTTAAACTTACAGTAACATTCCATCGTCGTTCCTACGAGCACGATTTGCACGTAGTATTCACTAACATTTTACCCGCGTGCTAATTGCTGCAAATAATTATCCCAAACGATTCAGACTCAAACGTTTCGCGCAATGTAAGAGCAGTATTCCGATTTTATAGCTCTTTAGTCGAAAGTGGAAGATGTTGTTTAACGATTTCGCGGATTTATCGAGAAATTTAACCAACGCTTCGCGATTTTTTTATTTGTATATAAAAAGAAACATTAAATGAAGAGGAATGTAAGACGTGAAATTGATGAACAGGTTTCCGTGATAAATCTACAAAACGGCTCCTCTACGTGGTGGCGAACGTTTGGCGGAAGTTGGCGACTATTCGATATTCTGGTCGATCCGCGTTTTCGATACAAACGACCAACGTGATGGCTAAGTATAAGTAATGCCGTTTCGTTGAAAACTCTGGCGAATACGATATTCGCCGCATCCGCAATTCTCGTCGATGTCGAACAGCCGTGAATGCGATTAATAGAGCGAATAAAACACGATAACACGAAGAATTTATATTCGTCGTTGACGCGAAAAGTAAGGGTTGAGATAAGTTAGAGTTAAAAAGGCGGGGAAATAATAATAAAGTATTTTTGTAGAATTTTATTAATAATATTCGTATCAGGAATGTCAATAATATTGCACCAGCTCGAAAATGTACAAAAATTAGATTTTTAAAACGAAGACGATTGCTCATACAATGTACATCGACAATTATCAATGGAATGATAATTTCCATTAATTTAACAAAATTAAATTATCAGATGGATCCGATACACCTCCCAAAATTGTTACGAATTAAAAATCTTTTCCTCTTCTGGAGAAACTTTTTCCACGTACGAATTTGATCGAATTTTCGAAAATTGAAACGAAGAGATTGGTTTTGTGAAAAAAAAAAAAAAGACAGAAAGAAAGAAAGAAAGAAAGTAAGTGTTCAAACAGTTAATTTACAGAGTCATATGTTAAGGTTTATTAGGACAGTAACGATGATTGCATTACAGTTCAGTAACTTATGCGTGAGATGTTCCGGCAAGAGCCTCAAAACAGAATAAGAAAATACATCCGCCGCTTAGCGGATACCATAGTCGATGCTCCGATCAATGATCGCGCTTTGTCCGGAGCACGACTACGATGCTTTTGAACAGTTTTAACCGCAGGACAAAGTTTTGGAGCGCCCCAGGCGCAACTTTGATAACTCGCAGGTCCCAGTAATATGCGGTGTGTAAGGATAAAAGTTTATTCTCTTTTTCTTATTTTTTTTTCTTTTCTTTTCTTTTTTCCCCTCCCCTCTCTTTTTTTATTTCCCTTTTTTTTCCTTTTTTTTTTTTTTTTTTTTTTTTTTT